TAAGCTTGCTAGTGACCACATCGGTCTACTGGTGAGTGAAAGAGGGGGAAAGAAGCAATGAAGAAATGGGTTGAGTTCAACCACAGTCCATTGACTCCCATTGACCTGGAGATGAGAGAGAGAAAGGAAGGGCTGGTTGGTCCAAAGTGTGGTGAGACCTGGGGACACCTGAAGACATGGACAAGGACCCATTGACAAGGACATAGCCACAGAGGGCTAGAGCTGAGAGTGAAGCATCCAGCTGATATGAAGTGAGGGGAGATGCACAAGACCACCCAAAGTTGCAGACAGTACCCATTTGACCTAGCCTTGATGACTTGATAATCAGAACTCAACTAGAGGAAGATTATAGAAAAAAAAAAATTCTTTTTGATAAAGGAAACAAGGGTAAGTTGCTACAATTTGATAAACTTGACCTATACTCATGGAGGTAGTAACTCTAAATACCAATGGAGAGGGAAGGAGTCTTCATATCAAGTATCAATGCTATCCCCTCTGTACACAGATAGATAGGGATGGGAAACATAGACATTGGCTACCTAAAATGAGGGGGCAATAAAGGCACGAAATGACTGGCTAACAAGGTTTCAAGAGGGAGTTTAGTTTTAAGAGTATGTGGGGAAAGAAAGAGTCCCCACTGAATAGCTGTCATCTAGTCTAGATGGGTCTGGTGAAAAGAGATTGGGATAAGATTCATATGATTTAATAGTGAATAATTATCATGATTAAGTGTGACTGTCACAATTGTAAAGGTAGAAGTTTTGTAACAAAAACAAGGGAGTAGTTAATCTTACAGTCCAGAAACAGAGGACCCTAGGACCATCAAGAGAGAAAAGCACAAGCAGAATGGGGGACCCTATCCAGAGAAGCAGCCAGCGATGGGGTCGTGGAGAGGCGGAGCAGCTGAGGACTCTAGTTTCATGGGAAGAGAGGCACTAAGAGCTGGTGGCCAGGAGGCTGACTTGCAGAATGAGCCCTTCAGAGGTGTAAATTATTATATAGGCCTGAGTTTTTTGTTTGTTTGTTTAAAAAAGCTAAAGTGAATAGAAATACTGTTAATTGATGGTACATGGAGGGAATTATAATCATTGTAATGAATAAGGTGTATTATTTGTTATATGAAAAACTGATAATCTGCCCTGTAAACTTTCACTCAATTCACAACAAAAACCTTTAAAAAAATAAAATAAAGCTACAGAGCCATGGGGGGGAGGGGGAGGGGAGCCACTCTAATAAACACGGCGTGCTGCTGTAGGGTCGGCCCTGCCCTGCTAAACCCTCCAGCCACAGCTCAGCTCAGAAACCCTATACAGGGTCACTATGAGCCAGTCACCTCATACACATGAGAGAGCGGGACAGTGAATAAGGATGACCACAGAACTGATGCATTTGAGTTATGGTGCTGGAAGAGAATACTCAAAGTACCATGGGCTGCCAAAAGAACCAGCAGAGCTGTGTTGGAAGAAATACAGCCAGAGTGCTCCTTGGAGGCCAGGATGGCCAGACTTCATCTTTCATACTTTGGGCCACTGCAGTAAGTATCGCCATAAAGCAAGTCCATGTGCATTCTTCGGTATCCCAGACTGTGGTGCTGTAGCACTGGACAAAGTTAACACCAAGTTTGGTGGTTCAAACCTATCAGCCACTCCTTGGAAACACTTCACAGGGTCACTGTGAGTCAGAATTGACTCGATGGCACTAAACCACGTTTACAATGCACTGTGGTCTATGAAGTATACACTAGCATTTATGAAAATATTTGAAACATTCTGAGAATGACCAACACAGGACCCAGAGCCGTGACGTGAGCCCATGGTGTGGGAACAATGATGCCCACAGACTTGCCCCATGCAGGGTTCCCACACACCTTCCATTTGTAATAAACAGTGTCCTTGAAACGCAAGAACACGCGGTGTACCTGCATCCATAAGGCGCTGAGGCGGCCCCCGGGAAGAAGCCATCCCCTTCAGTGGGGGAAGGACAGAGCCACAGACTTGTGGGCTCCTCCACCCTCGTGTCCTGGAATCACAAACTGCCAATGTGAAAAGACACCCAGGAAACACGAGAGGGCTCCAAAAAGTCTTGGGGAAATGGAATGAAGAGACAGTGGAATTTTCTCACAAACTGTTTGAAGCCCCCTTGTAGACAGTCTCATTCTCCTACACCTCACAGGTTAATAAAACCGAGGCCCCACCCAGAAAGAAAGCTGGCCCACCCGGTGGCCTTCCCTACACCCTCAGCTAATGGCGGAACACTTTCCTCTCAAACCACTCAGTGCCTGAAAACAAGACATGACTTCACAGATAACTACTCCTCCCAAAAATATCAGGGAAAAAATGGAAGCAGTGCAATGTTCAATGTCTCATGAGAAAATATCTCACAGTATTCGCATGAACCCCAAACCCACCATCACTAAACTGATTCAGACTCCTAATGACCGTACACAGGACAAAGTGGAACTGCTCCATAGGGTTTCCGAGACAAAATTGTTACAGGTGTGAACAACCTCATCGTTCTCATGAGGAGCAGCTGGTGGGTTTGAACTGGTGATCTTGCCATTAGCAATCCAATGCTTAGGCCACAGTACCGTTAGGGCTCTTTAACCCTTGCAGAAGGCCTTTCAAATTGAGGGAAAACATTTCCTTTTTAAAAAGAGACCTGGTGGTGTGACGGTTAAGGCGTCCAGCTGCTCGCTAAAAGGTCAACGGTTGGAATCCACCAGCTGCTCCAAGGAGGAAAGATGAAGCAGTCTGCTTCCGTAAAGATTTCCAGCCTCGGAAAGCCTAAAGGGTCTCTATGAGTCATAATTGACTCAAAGTCAGTGGGTTTGGTTTCCTTATAAAATTTTAAACACGTTGCTACGGTCCACCCTGACTCAGGGTGACCCCACGAGTATCAGAGAAGAACTGTGCTCCAGAAAGCATTCAATGCTGACTTTTTGGAAGTGGATCTCCAGGACTTTCTTCCAAAGCACCTCTGAGTGGGCTTGAACCTTCCACTTCTCAGGTAGCCTCCAAATGTGTTAATTATTTGGAGCACTCAGGGCTTCCTTTCCCTTTTTGGCAGCTTTGACACAGAAAGCTGTGTTTGCCCCTCTGATGTTCCCTCCCTGCTGAAGAGTTCAGAGGAGTGAGGGCATTGTTGGAGAGGCCATGCGGACTGGGTCACAGTGATTCTAAGACCCCCAGCACGCCCACCCCATCTCCTGGAGATGTTTAGGCACAGAGAGGGCAGGTGGCCCAGCAGCTTCGTGAGAACCCCACAAGCTCCCTCCTGGCTCCTGTGGTCAGGGAACCTCCAGATCACGCTGGCTCCCTGGACAACTCCCTTTGTGACATCACCACACTATTAGGGGCTTCAATGTGGAGCAAGCTGTCACGTCCCAAACTGCAGGACAAATGAGGTGTTTTGTTGGTGGAGGCAACCACATGTCTTTAAAGCACTCCGACTTCAGAGAGGACTTCCTTGCTGGGATTTTCCATGATGGGTTATGGATGTTTTTCTATTTACTGAGGACTGCTGAAATTTTAATAAATTTTAATCCTAACCCTAACCCCAAACCCTGAACCCCTAACCCTAACCCCAATTCCTAACCCTAACACCTAACCTCTAACCCCTAATCCCTAAATCCTCACCCCTAAACCCTAATCCCCAACCCCAAAGCCCTAACCCCTAACCCCTAAGCCTAACCCCTAAGCCTTAACCCCTAAGCACTAACCCCTAACCCCTAAGTGCTAAATCCTAGGCAACACCTTGATCCTTAATTCCCATGAGCCCTGTCCAAACGCCCTACCTCTCCACATCCTGCCCAGGGGCCAACCAGACACAGAGGGCAGATGATGCTCCCGAGAATTCCAAAATCATAGATAGGGCCCGAAGGCTTTACCATCCTCTGAGTTCTGAAATCAAAATTCACTGTTGAAATCGCTTTTGATTTTGAGAGTAAATGCCAATGTGTTTATGTCATGATAAAATATACAAGGTGCCTTCAAAAAGTTCCTGGAAAAATTCCATCACCTTTGCATCCCATTTTTCCATGAACTCTTTGAAGCCTCCTCGAGCGTGTAAACATAGTGGCCTATTTCATTACATACTCCAGTCCCAAGTCCCTCTAACAAGTGAGATTTGCAGTAAAATCAACATTCTACAGATGAGTCATGTTTCAGCTGCCTGTCTTCCCAATACAACCTGCTTCTCTCCTCTGTCCAGCCCTCGCTAGCGTGCACCACGGCTCCCAGCCTGCTCCCTGGGGCTCCTGGCTCTGACATCACAGCGCTTACCCTGACTATGGGGTACATGCTCCTCCGTCCCCTCTACCAGATGATAAATCCCTGAAGGGCAGGACTGCTCCCTACTGACGATGTGTCCCTAGAACCGACCTTCATGGCAGGCCCAAGGTAAGAACTCACTCAATGGCTTCAAACAGATGAATGCAATTAGAAATCCATGTCAGTGTACTTCCCGAGGTCATATCTGCCCCAACACGAGCCCTGTTTTCACTGGAAATACTAGGACCTTGATACAGCTTCGGTGGTAGGGCCCACAGATTCTCCGGGATAGAGCAGGGCTGGCCCACGGGGTTTCCAAGGCTGCCGTCTTTATAGAAGCCGCCAGTTCTTTCTAGCATGCAGTGGCTGGTGGGTAGTGGCCAAGCACTTAACCACTGTGCTACCTGAGTCCCTTTCAATGATGAGAGCATCCTCTTAAAAAAGCCAGGCCAGGTGGGACCCAATCCTCAGGCTCTAGGTGTGTAGGGAGGGCGAGGGGGGTGGAAGCTTCCAGAACCAAGCATGTAGGCTCCCTTGAGTGTGCGCCCTGCCCATGAACAATCTGCAAGCACGGCCATCAGGCAGGCTGGAGCCCAGTCCCGAGGAGCCAGCGAGGTCTCTACCCCTTCAGAAAGGAAACTGTGGTAGACACCCGCTCGTTCCTGCCTCCCAGACTCAGGGTCCAAACGTGTACTCGGGAGGAGCACACACCAGAGTTGTTTGTTTACTCACCGTCCGCCATGTGGAGGAGCTTGTGACTCTTCAGCGTCCCTTTCGACTTGAATTTCTTGCCACACATGTCACACAGGTGCGTCTTCTCAGTGCTGTGGCGGTTCATGTGGGCCTTCAGGTTACTCTTGCTCCGAGTGGCATACTCGCACAGAGAACATTTGAAGGGCTTCACACCTACCAGGACACAAAACAGTAGTGTGTGTGTGTGTGTGTGTGTGTGTGTGTGTCTCCATGCCCCTGTTCGTTCTCTCCACGCTGTGCCTTTCTCAGAGCCTCCCTGCTCAATGTTCCCAAACCCGGCAGCTCTCCTAGCAACATCCTCACATCTGCCTCCCCCACAGCCAGGAACCCTGTGTGACTCCCACAGCAGCCTCCATTAACGCCATCTGATTAGAGTGAAATCAAACAAAATCAAAGACCCAGGAGGCTTTGCAGAACACGATGTGAGGCCCCAAGATGCAACAGCACCACAGACTTCTGACTGACAAACTTCACTAGCACCAAGGGCTGCTGGTTTGGTCAAGAAGCTCAAGTGGAGATGGTAGGGACAGCTCAACAAACTGCGATGCCTTCGTTCAACAAATGTCCACTGAGGTACCCTCCAGAAATGAGAGAGCCAGGACAGGAGTATACGTACGTACATAGCAAAAAGATGGAGACAGCCTAAATACCCATCAACAGAAGAACAGCTACACAAACTTTGGTACAGACACACAATGGAATACGACACATTATTAAACAACATCAATGAATCTGCAAAATACCTCACAACATGGATGAATCTGAAGGACATTATGCTGAGTGAAATTAGCCAATCACAAAAGGACAAATATTGTTATGAGACGACTATTGTAAAAACCTAAGAAAAGGGGTGGGAAGGAAGATTCTTCATGGAGTAGAGACGTGTTAACACGGTGATGAAGAAGGCAACAAGAGGATGGTCAGTACAGGAAAATGAAGGCCGCCGAACACACAGGCAAAAGTGCAAGAGTTACAATGAGCAGGTGTATGGGGGAAGGTAGAGTCACCATTGAATAGTTTTCCTCTTGTCTAGATGGGTCTGGTAAAAGGAGACGGGATGGGATTCATTTGATTCAATAGCGAATATTGTTATCACACCTAATTGGGATTGCCACAATTGTAAAGGTAGAAGTTTTGTAACATTAAAGGGGGAGTAGTTAATCTTACAATCCAGGAAGTGAGGACCCTAGAACCATCGAGGAAGAAGAGCATGAGTGGAATGTGGGACCCTACCTAGAGAAGCAGCGACACCAGAGATGGAGGCAGAGATGAGGACATGGAGAGAGGGAGCAGCTGAGGACTCTAGACTCATGGAAAGACAAAGGCTGTGTACTGGCGGACTAGAGACTGGCTTCCAGAATGTGCCCTTTTCATGGCTTAACCGATTATATATCCCTGCGTGTTTTTGTTTGTTTGTTTTGTTTTTGTACATAAAAATGGGGGGGGGGGTAGATAAACTATCTACGATGGTTTGTGGGGAGGATTGATACATGCACTAGAGGGGAGACACACACTGACCTGGGTGACAGGGCAGGCAGTATACAACCGGAGGGAGGTTGGCAGAGGAAGGATGGGGGTGGCGGGAGACACAGGGAGGAATGCAGTGGGTGCAGTGAATAGAGGTCAATGCTGGGAACTGTTGGTGAATGGAGGAGATGGCAACCATAGAATGAAGCAAAGTCTATGATCTGTTGAATGTAAAACTGATGATCTTTCTGCTCTGTAAACCTCCACTCAATTCACAAGAAAAAGTCTAAAAAGGAAAAAAAAGAGTTACAGCGAACAGAGGGAAATACTGTTAGCTGATGGCATGTGGACGGGACTGTAATAACTGTAATGAAACAAATAGGTATGATTTATTGAATGTGGGATGATCATCGACAACCTTCACCCAATTCACAATAAAAATTTGAAGCAAAGAGAAGAGAAGAAAAGGAGCAATGCCGACCAAGGACACACTTTTCAGGAAGCACTGAGGAACCCCCAGGACACCAAAGGTTTGACCCAACCTTCAAACAAGTAAGCAGCCCATTACCGCCAAGTAGGATGGGTTTCTCCCTGCTGGGGATGCCCCAAACCTGACCAGAAGCATTTTCACTGGTTATCCATACGACCTGCAATTATGAATTGAAGGAGCCAGGACTTTCGAGAGGCCACGGGGTGTGTCCAGGGGCACAGGACTGAGAGCCTACACATGGCCCTGACAAAGGCCAGCCCCAGGCTGGACTTCAGAAACCGGAGTGAGAGCTGACCACGAGAACCAGTGAGTATGAGAACATGACCTACTGTTTGGATCTGCCTTCTCATGTCTGTAAAACAATGGGATTGGACACTGCCCTCTTGGTCCTGGGCTGGTCACTTGTAAGAGCCTCTAATGAGAGCCACCTCCCATCTGTCCCTTTGTCAAATGTGGTGGCTCATGTGTGGCCGTGAAGCTGGAATTTACATCACTGGCATTTCAAATACAGGGCTCAGCAGTGCTTCCAGACTAAGAGAGAGTAGAAAGACAGTCCTGGTGGTCTGCTTCTGAAAAGCAGCCATTGAGAACCTTAGGGGTCAATACTGTCTGACCAGCCTGCTTTCCACACGTTGTGTCTGGGGAAGGGTCTGAGAGACCCTCACTAAGTTGGGCCGGCACAGCAGCTGTAACAACACATTCGAAGGTGCCAGTGACTAGGCGGGTGTTGCAGGGCCAGCGTACAGTCCTGTTGGGAACAAAAGGCTACATCAGGCCAAGGTACACACCCACCATGCAGGTGAAGACCACACAGGCCACATCAAAGCTGGACGTGCTCTCTTTATTCGATGCGGTACTTGGCCCAGTGCTCGCCCCAGCAACTTCAATAATTCCAGAATGCAGACAGGCCACTTTCATGGGCCCACAGCAGTCCCTCATGTCTGTCCCTCGCCATGATGGGAAGACACAAGCGAACCAAAAAGCACACAAGTTTTGAAGCCAAATGTGTTTTCACTCAAGTCCTGCTCTCCCTCTGGCCACCTGTATAAGCTTGGGGAAGTTACCTAATTGCTATGTACCAGGTCCTCACCTGCACAGGTAATGATTAGCATAAAGAAGACATACAACCAGGATGCAATGTGGATACAGGGTTAAAAGCTAACAGCTCTGTACCAGGTCCTCACCTGCACAGGTAACAATTAGGGTAAAGGAAATGCAGGAGCAGGATGCAGTGCGGACACAGAGTTAAATGCTAACAGCTCTGTATCGGGTCCTCACCTGCACAGGTAATGATTAGCATAAAGAAGACATACAACCAGAACACAATGTGGACACAGGGTTAAAAGCTAACAGCTCTGTACCAGGTCCTCACCTGCACAGGTAACAATTAGGGTAAAGGAAATGCAGGAGCAGGATGCAGTGCGGACACAGGGTTAAATGCTGCATACATACCTTCATGAGCCCAGATGTGCCGCTGCAGGTCTGCACCATTCTTCATGAAGTAGAAGTCGCAGTGGGGGCATTTGGTGGCTCTTTTCCCTATGAGCCCCTTCAGCTGCACCCTCCTCCCGAGAACCTCGGAAACGGTGCTCATGGAGACCTCTGGAAGAAGCCAGAGCGGGAGTCAGAAGCAGACAAGGCACTGCAGGTCAGGGTACCCACTGCCGCGGGGTCAGTTCTAACTCCTCGGAACCCTAAGACAATGGGAGAACTGCCCCATAGGGTTTCTTCGGCTGTCATGCTGATGGGAGCAAACTGCCCCATTGTTCTCCTTAGAGCAGCCGGTGGGTTTAGACCACTGACCTTGCAGTTAGTCCAGTGCTTAACCCACAGTGCCATCAGAGTGCTTCTGCCAAACCCAACCCACTGCTATGGAATCAATTCCGACTCAGCTACTCAGTCGTAATAAACCTGGTGGTGGCAGACGCTGAACCCATCAGTCTCAACCCAGCTGGGCTGTGTCTCGTGGCATCCTGGACTAGAATTCTGGACTCAAAAGTGAAATCAGACCCTAGTTAAGCCTCAGACTAACTGTCCACATAAAACACGAGGGACGGAGAAACAGCATCAAGAAGCTGCGACTGTGTGCTGTGCTGGCAGTTCTGAGTCACAGCGTCCCTGTTAGGGGTTCTGGGACTGAGCCGAAAGTCTTATCTTTCTCCCACAGAGCCACTGGTGGGTCCAAATTGCTGACCTTATGGCTAACAGCCCAAGTCATAACCCACTATGTGAACAGAGCAGCAAGTGAGAACTGCAGACTGTGATGTTGCCAAGTTTCTCCAACAAATCAATGTCAGGAAGAAAGACACTCAAGTGTTACCAAAAATGCAAAATGCGTGAGTCTTGATTCAAAGAAATCCACTATTTAAAAAGCAAAACATCAACTCTGGATCAACTGGGAACCTTTAATGTGAACTAAAGCTAGGTGACGGGACTCTTGTCCTGGCTGTGTTAATCGTGGCATGGTGGTTTCGTTGGGGGGAAAGAAAATACTTATTGATTGGAGATGTATACTAAAGTTTTTATGGGGAAATGGCAAAATGTCTGGGATAAACCTTAAAATATTCCAGGGGAAGTCAAGGTGGGAGAACACATGAAGCAAATGTGACAAATGCAGTAACTCTGGAAGGGGATGTATCTTGTGATGGTGCTTTATGTGGTGCTGTGAAGAGGTCAGTGGTTCAAGCCCATCTATAACTTCTCAGGAGAAAAAAAACGTAGCGGTCTGCTTCAGTCAGGATTTACAACCCTGGGAAGGCTGCGGGGCACTTCTCGCCCTACTAGGTCAGGAGGTATGGGACTTGACACAGTAGATGTGGTTTATTTGTTTTAGGTACTTTGGTATGTGTTTGAAATCTTCTAAACATACAGTGGGAAACAGTGACAATAGGAAAAGACCCTGCGTCTCTTTGTGAACAGAGGTCAGGTGTTTGAGTGACTGGGCCCAAAGGAACCTGCAAGCAGACAGTCTCCAGCCCCCATCCGTTTCCAGAAAGCATATGTGTCTCAGTGCCCGTCCATTACTGGTTTCTCCTCCATGAATCAGCATTTACAATCTTTGAGTGAGGTTCCAACCATCAGGAGTAGCTATGAAATAAAGAAAAGCACCTAGAGGGGTGTGGAGGAAGGAAGAGGTGTAGACAGCTTATCTGTACCCCATAGGTAAGTTCTGATGCCTGGTGGAGACATGGTTGATGGCACTGGGGGTAAATTCGGACCCCCGGAGCCTGTAAGGCCTTACCCAGAAGATTCTGCCTATGCAGGGCTCTGCAGGAAGGCTGAAGGCATGAGCAGGAATTCACCAGGAAGAAAAGAGGGAAACTGCCCCAGGCAGTGAGGGCATGGATGGTGGGAGCTCACACCTCCTGAACCACAACAGCATGGGGAGAACTAACACCCCTTCATAAACCACTGCGCAAACTCACAGGTCCGGTTTAACCTCACAGGAAATCGGGACTTTAAGAGCATTCGAAGTTTACTTGAGTGGGGGCTGCAGGGAGGAAGTGCAAGTGAAGACTAGATAGAGGGTAATCATAAAGGAGGCATTCTGAAAAGAAACCCCAGATGTTAAGAGAGGTGTTTCTTTGAATTTACTCTAGTCTTCAGCCCTTGTCACTTCCATTTAGTGCAGACTGCTGGGCTGGAGAATAAACGTGAGCATTTCTAGATTAATCTTCGGCTCTAAAGTGCATAACCTTACCGGGATGGTTGGTCTTGATATGTGACTTTATCAATCGATCTTCTGAAAAAGACTTTTCACACACGGGACAAGAATAACTCCTTTTGTCCTTAACAGAAAGAGAGTGCAATCAGTTGTCTCATTTAATGGTAGGTTCTGTGGAAATTCACCACCACTACCACCATGTCCATCACCAACACCACCATTACCAACATTACCATCACCACCACCACCAAAATTACCATCACCACCACCATCACCACCTCCACCACCACCACCACCACCATCACCATCAGCAGCACCATTACCACAACCATCACTACCATCATCACCATCTTTACATCACCACCACCACTACAACCATCACTACCACCACCTCCACCATCACCACCACCATTATCATCATCATCATCATCACCACCACCGATATTACCGCCACCTACCCTCACTACCTTCACCACCTCCACCATTACCTTCATTACCCACCACTCTCAGCAATAGCAGCAGTAGCATCAGAGCTAGAGAAACACTGTAGCAAGCACACCTTTTACAGGGCTGTGCCGTGTCGCCTCTGCCTGCCCCACTTAGCCCAGAGAGCACAGGAGTAAGGGATGGCACCAGCTCATTGAGAAGACAGGAGGGGCAGGGGGGTAATATAAAACTGGCGGCACAGGGAGAGGGTGGGGTTTGGCGGCCCTTGCATTTCCCCCAGCACTCAGAGTCTGGCGTGCCAGGGGTTTCCATAGAATCACTATCACATGACGCTCACACCACTCTGAAAGGACACATATGGCCACATTACAGATTACAGACAGGGGAACATAGTGAGGTGAGCCCTAGGTCTGAGAAGGGCAGCCAATGTCTGCCCCAAGTTCTCAAATGCCTCCTACCACACCGAGGCCACTGGTGTGTATGTGGCAAGGGGGCAGGGGAGGGGACTCTACACTGCTGTGGCCTCATCCACCCAAGATCTCAGTGTCACTTTCTCCATGAGGGAGAAGCCACGGCTTTAGCTCATAGGCCTTCCTCCTTGAGCTCACTTTCTGGAGAATTCACATCAAGGTGGCCACCCCCGCAACACACACAGAGGCTGGGGGGAGATGGGGACATGTGGGCAGAGGCAGGAAAAATAGTCAACACTGCCAGGGAGGAAAAGTGCTTAGAGGCGGGTGGGGAAAGCAGCATGGAGGGTTTCCTGTCTCCTCCATCAGGGAAGATAAGGAGCCGAGGCAGCATCTGTGCTTACCCTTTTAAGCGGAGGAATAGCCTGGCTACCCCCAGAGCAAATTTCAGAAGTGTAATCAGGATGCTATGCTCCCAAGCTCCCCTGATGGATGGCCAGCCCATGCGTTACACAGAGCCAGAGTGGGTGGGAAGAACCACACACGTCCACGGCACGTCCACGTTACCAAAGGCTAAGTGTGCTGAAGCAGTGAGTGTAGCAGGCACAGGCTCTGGGATGCTTCCCAAAATGTGTTCTCCTAGATGTTAATGCAGTCCCAGCCCCAGGGTTTAACAGCTTCCCATCTGCTGCCTGACTGGCTACAATCCCACCCCAACCCTCATACCGCTAAATAGTATCAACACTCCATTGTTATTGTTGCGGTTGCTATGTACCATCCAGCCCATTCTGACTCATAGCAACTTACAGAGTAGAGCCACCCCTTAGGACTTTCTGTGCTGGGTCCCGGAGAAAGGCTCTTAGCACCTGGGAGACCCTGGATGCCCTTATCACCGGAGTGGACAGGGACACTCAGAAGGCCTGCGGAAGAGCTGACTATTGTCTCCCAGGGCCCTCTGCTGTTTGATTTCCATTTCCTTTCATCTCTGACCATCTGAAAGTCATTTATCTCAGGGCTCACTCATCGGGGCCCCTTATTGGTGATGCCTTTGAAGACTGTCTGAAGGCGGGGGTAGTGGGAGAGCATGCTGGCAGAAAGGGGGGCTTGGGGCTCATTTCTTTCTTTTTCAAAACCTCTTTTTCTACTGAAAATGAACCCAAACTCACACAGCAAAGTTACAAAGAGTGGGGGCAGCAAGGGTTCCTGGCAGAGGCGGGGAGTGGGCAGGAGTCGGGTCCCAGGACAGGACACGTGGCCTCCGTCGGAGCTTGTGTGCAACAATGGGCCAGCCTCCAGAGCACGCGAAACAGGTGCATTATATAGCAGGCATGACCAGAAGACCCAGATGGTAGCCCACTCCACAACCCACCCACTCATTGCAATGATCAGGATGAAAACAGGTCCTGGGCAGTGTGGGAGAAACTATGGAACAAAACTCAAAACCGTAACAGACCTGGTTTACGTACAGTCTGTCCTTAACACCCTTCATACCTGAGACTTAGCCCTCCCCCTGGAGCAGATTTCAGCCAAACAATCCACAGGCCTACAAAGCATGAGGCACATTGTTGTTGTTGTTTACTGCCATCAGCTGGCTCAGACTCATAGTGACCCTGTATGGGGTGTCTGAGGAACAGCTGGTGAGCTTGAACCGCCAACTGTATGGTTCAAGTCGACCTTGCAGTCCAGTGCACTAACTCACAACAGCACACCAGGACTCCAGGAAGCACTCACTCCCCAGGAAATCAACCATACATACCAAAAAGGGCAGCATTTACCCCAAGCAAGGCTCAGAAGGCAGGAAGGAGGAAGTGGGAAGAGTGTTGACAATGGAGCACAGCCAACGTCATGAAACATAATGTGTACACCTTGTTCAATAGGAAGCTGTATGCTCTGGAAACATTCACCCAGACCACAGTAAAATGTTCAAAAATCCAAACTAAAATAAGGAAGGGGCAGGCTAGCAAGAGGCAGCCATCTATGCCTCAGAGGCAAAGTCACGCTGACCCCCACATCCTCAAGTTCATCTCAGCTCACAGAGGCTCTGTAGGACAGAGAACTGCTCCCATGCTTCCGCAAAGTGTCAGTCTTAATGGGAGCAGACAGCCTCATCTTAGTCCCACGGAGCCACTGATGGGTTTGAACTGATGACCTTGCAGTTAACCTGAGACTTAATCCACTGTTCCAGCAGGACCCCTTCAAAGGTAGTGGAGCACCGTCTGCTCAATCCACAGTGGGCATCAGCTAGAGACGGATGTCTGTTCTGAGCACATGCTGAGTGGTGGTGGTGGTGGTGGTTATGAGCCGTGGAGTCGGTTCCGACTCATAGCGATCCTGTCGGTTTCCGAGGCTGTAAATCTTTACGGGAGCAGAATGCCCCATCTTTCTCCCTTGGAACAGCTGGTAGTTTTGAACTGCTGACCTTGAGGTTAGCAGCCCGAATCGTAACCACTATGGTCCCAGAGCTCTTTATGGTGCCCTTTGCAGAATCAAGTTAACAAAGCTGGAAGGTTGGTTAGTAGGCAACTTAGGGGCAGTAAGTATTCATATGTTCCTGTTGTTGTTGTTGTTAAGGGCAGTCAAGTCAGTTCCAGCTCATAGCAACCCTTTGTAGGGTTTTTGAGGAGTGACGGGTGAGTTTGAACCGTTGACCTTTCATCTCAAACCGGCCTTGAGGTTGGATGGTTACGCTACTGGACCACACCAGGTATGCGCTAAAGAGGGGGCGAGGACGGTGGGGTACAAGATACACACAGAAAGTGTTAAACTGGTGTGTGTCCAGTCACACACACACAAAAAAAAAACTGAAATTACATATTTTTCACAAATCTACAATGAGCAGAGGCAGACAATATCAAAGAAACTCAGTTGTAACCGCTGCATAAGTAAACGCACCTGTATTTGACATCAGGTTTTTTAAATAATGACCTGGAGCCTGCACTCCACTCTCTGTAGGAATAAAGGCCACAGGAAACCTCTGCTCTCCTCTGAGGACTCCCGCATCTATCCTGAAGAGTTCCAGGGATCAATTCTGTGCCGGGGAGGCCCGAGAGATGTAAACACTTAGCCCACTTGTCGGCTAAGCAAAAACTGAAGGTTTGAGTCTCCCCAGAGGTCCCTCAATAAAACTTTACCTGGCGATTTACTTCCATGTGATAAAAACTGCTGTTGAAAAACCTGTGTCACACACCTCTACTCTGACACATGTGTGCTCCCTGAACATCTTTCACTCGAAGGCAGCTTGGTTTTGTTTTCGAATGATGTGCCAGGCACCACTGAAGACAGGGATAGGAGAAGCTGGCCCCTGACTCAAGGGACCAACAAGTGAGTCGTCATGGATGTGCCCGAGCAGAGTATATGTCATCGCAGGGCAGAGGACAGAAGCTGGGATAGTACTGATGGACACAAGCTGGGAGGAGCCTGTGATCTGCCCAGCATGGGGTCCTTGCCACTAATGCAGCTGTTTGTCTGCCAGGCCCTGCCAGCAGCACTGACTTATGAGGTTGCATTACACCACGGATGGGGAAACTTTTTTCTGCTGAGGGCTATTTGGATATTGATAACATCTCTTGTGGGCCATACAAAATTATCAACTTAAAAATTAGTCTGCTATATTTGGTCAAACATTTAAATAACTCATCCCTAATGCAGTGGCTAAGGAGCTCTGGTAGCATGGTTACGAATTGTGCTGCTAACCTCAAGACGGCAGTTTGAAACTACCAGAGGTTCCGTGGGAAAAAGACAAGGCATTCTGCTCCCGTAAAGATTTACAGCCTCAGAAACCCTGTTCAGGGTCACTATCAGTCGGAACCGACTCCATGGTACTTAACAACAACAACAATGCGATGGCTATGGAGTCCTGGTGTGGTGCTGTGGATTAATGCATCAAGACTGCAAAGCCATTTGAACTGGAAGGTTGATGTTCAAGCTCACCAGCTGCTCCTCAGAAACCCTCTACAGAGTCACTATGGGTTGGAATGGACTCAACGGCACTTCACAACAACAACAACAATGTGATGGCTGGAGTCCTGGTATGGTGCTGTAGGTTCAGCATTGGACTACAAACCACAAGGTCGGCAATTCAAACCCACCAGCTGCTCCTAGGAAAACCTATACAGGGTCACTATGAGTCGGAACCAACTTGAAGGCACTCAACAACAACAACAAACAACAACAAAGTGATGGCTGGAACTGCAGTTGCCTTGGTAGGGCCAGACCAAAGGATTTCAAGGCCCTTATACTGCCCACAGGCCAGACATTCCCCATGCCTGCTCTATATGATGGTCTCTCATCACCTGAGGCCTTCGGTGCTATGGATAAAGCCCAAATAGGGCATCTAGGCACACACCTGTGATCAAATCTGACCACGTCATATAGCTCTTGGAAAGAGAAACATATCATATTCAACCATATCAGTTAAATAACATTTCCTTCCCCTTAAAAAATTGTATATACACTCATGGATCATACCCATTTATTTCCAGGAGGATACTGGAAATAGTTCCCTGTACTTTCTCCTTGCTTGTTGGCAAGATATTATTTGAGCTTGTTTCTCACAAGTGCATTTAACATTCTAAGCGTCTGCATGGCCAAAAACAGACCACGCTCTTTTCAAAGACACGAGCAGAGCACTCATTGAAAACACCTCCACTAGTCAGTCCTGCATCTTGCTGGAGTTTCTAGGTGTCTGGGATGTGTGGAAGGAGCCCTGGAGGTGCAGTGGCTAAGAGCACTTGGCCGTGACCCAGAAGGTCACTGATTCAATCCCACCAGCCGCTCCACGAGAAGAAACTATGGCAGTCTGCTTCCTTAAAGACAGCCTTGTAAAACCAATAGGGCAGTTCTACTCTGTCCAACAGGGTCTCCATCAGTCAGAGCTGACCTGATGGCAGGTCCTATTCGAAGTGATTCATAGGCATTGTAGAATAAAGACTGGTCTGAACTGCAAGGTCGGCAGTTCAAACTCACCAGCCACTCCTCAGAAACCCTATACAGGGTTGCTATGAGTCAGAACCAACTCAATGGCACTTACCAACAACATTATTATAAGTCCTGGTGTGATGCTGTAGGATAAGCACTGGACTGCTACCCACAGGTCAGTGGTTCCCACCCATCGGCCACACCTCAGAAACCCTATACAACATCTCTGAGTCACAAGCAACCCGATGGCACCAACAACATCATTCTCATGCCACACCCAGCCAAATAATGATGGCTAAAGACACTGACCGTAACAGGCAATAATAAAGAAAGAACTACATCTTTAACTTACATCACAACTGACGTGCCACAGAGTCACTAGAATTGGAGTCCATCCAAACTGGGAACTACTGTTTTATAATCTGCCAATAACCCTACAACATATTGTTGTTGTTGTTCAGTATTGTGGAGTTGCTTCCGACCCATAAATACCCTGTCTAGGGTTTCCAAGATACATATAAACATAAATAACACACAAAAATATATGTGTGCATAGGCACATGCATGGACATGTATGTGGACACATGTCTACACACAGACCGTACATGTGTGCTTCAAATTGTATACATATAGTTATGCATATCCTTATTTAGCTCTATAGGGAGATCACCAGGTCTCTAAAGGGTCAAGTACTTGCCCAAGGCCAGTCAGCTTGTGGGCTACTGGACATTGTACTGCATCCACAGCCGGCTCTCTGACCTGAATTCACACCACAGGGATGTTACCAGTCCTTTAAGAAGTCAGTGAAGAAACCCTCATTTCATTTCCTACTCCACACACCCTAACTCTGTAGACTAGCTACCGTCCAAACACTCAACATTAAAAGCACCTTCGTTCCATCTCATCTTTGTTCTTTTCAACTTTACAGAGCCTCTCACTGTGACAGGAACTCACGGTGAACAAGGCCTCTGGGAGCATACGGGGTGGGCGTAGTGCAAAGCACCTCCCTTTGCAGGGTTACCTCTCGAGTTTCCCAGCAGCCCCGGGCCTCTCTGTCTGCATGTATCTGAGGAAGCAATGCGCACGGGGGAACGGGCTGCCACTGGGGGCTTGCTACTTACCAGCTCTGTGTGGACTTTAAGATGTGCCTGCAGTTTATATTTATCGGGAGTCGCGTAGTCACAGCCGGCAGTAGGACACTTCAGCAAGATGTTACTGTGTTTCTGAATTACATGGCGTTTAAGACAGTTTTTGGTGATGGAGGAATAATGACACTGGGAGCAATAATACAGATGTTCCCGGGTGTGGGTGCGGACATGCATGTCAAAATGCACTTGGTACCAAAAAAGTTTGCCTAAAAAAATAGTCACGTGAGAACAAGGAAGTTTCTTTTATACTGAATTTGCATTTTTTTTCCCCTTAACTGTAGAATTCCTCTCCCTCTAGTGCTTGTCCTGGTCGCCCTTCAAACGTCCCACCACATCTCTAGTCTGGCAACGCTTTGCAGGACGCAGGTATTTCTGCATGAAGTCAGCAGCACTGGGGAAGGAAAAGCCCCCCAAGGGCTGAGGTCCCTGTTAGGGGCTATGCATCAGTCACAGGGCCTCCAGGCTCTGCTGATGCAGGACACCTGGCCTGGTGTCACCAGCTCTCAGGGAGATGCACAAACCAGACTTTGTGTGTGACTCTGCATGATTGTTGTCAGGGTCGCCCTATGTGGAGTATAACCACCTAGCATGCCCTGATCTTTAGAACTGAGCGCTCTACCCGACACATGCCAGGGCTCTTCTTGGTTAAGTGTATGAGGAGATGGGTTAAACCTCCACGTGAATGCCTGGCCAAGCCAACACACTTCATGGAGCCATCTTCCAGGTGACCTTCAAAAGGCCCCGGTAAGACTACCACACGGGTGGGCACCCATCCCTGTCTACACACGGAGCACAGTTCCCTTACAAGGTGTCTTTGCAGAGACATGAGCTCACATTACACCCAGGTGACCCACAGCACTCTGGGAGTCGCTGGGGCTGCTGGGAAGGAGGACGCCCCTACCCCTCCTTACCACAGTACTCGCACTCCAGGTCCCCGTACACCTTGCGGATCCTCTCACACAGGCCCGTGTTCATCGGCTTCTTCTGCAGGTTGTTGAGGATCTTCATGAAAGGGGTGATGTCATTTGGGGGTTCCGAGGTGGATTCGCAGGAGCCCTGATCACCCGCCACTGGGGGAAGTTCGGGGGCCTTGGCTGGGTCCGACTCAAGACACCCACTGGAGTTCAGGTCATCGGGTGGGAGGGCAGCAGTGCCCTGCCCCCCACATGGGGGGCTTTCTGCACCCTGGGCTTCCTGCTGCAGGCTAGCACCATGGTCCTTGGGCAGCAGGACCGTGACTACCCGGTCCTGGGTCTGGGTTGGGTCTCCGTGCTGGGGCTCCATGGTCTCCGCGGGCAGAGTATGAGCTTGGATACTGGGGCAGGTCTCCTGTTTTAGCAGAAAGTCACCCGCAGCCATCGCAGGGGAAGAAGGAAGGGTGGCTAATGCCACAGTGGGCAAAGTAGCACCTATGGCTGGGGGCACAGCTGGTTGCTCGTCCGGGGTGGGCATGTCCACAGGGTCCTCTGGCCCCGGGTGGGCGGGCATATCCATAGGGTCCTTCAGCCCCCGGTGGGCAGGCATATCCACAGTGTTCTCTGGCTCCGGGTGGGCCTCCTTGGACTGAATGTCCGTGGGGGCGTTGATGCCAGGGAACCCCAACTCCTCTTCGGCCAGCTGCAGCTGGTCCCCCAAGGCCTCCTGGTGGATGTCGCCACCGGGCTCCAGCAGGCAGAAACTCTGGTTGATGGAGCTGTTGAAGACGGCTGCGTCCTGCGCAGCCCCATGCGCCTCCGCGATGTGCGCGCGCAGTCGGATGGAGCTGACAAACTTTTTGAGGCACACGGCACAGACGTAGACGAAGGGGTGCTTCCGGATGTGCAGTTCCAGCGCCTGGTACTTGGTGGCTCCGTGGCCACACAGCTCGCAGGCGAAGGGCCACTGGTCACCGTGCACCAGCATGTGGCGGTCGCGGTCCAGCTCGTTCTTGAATTTGCGCTCGCAGGTGTGACAGTCATAGAGCAGCTGCCGCTTGCCCTCCCTGGTCATTAGGCCCAGCTTGTCCAGGGCCTCCTTGACCTTGAGGTCCTGCAGGTCGTGGGCATCCCGGACGTGCTTGATGAGGTTCTTGACGTCCGAGTACTGCTTCTTGCAGAAGCGGCAGTGCTGCTTGACCTTCTTGTGCACCCGCTCGATGTGCACCTTGAGGTGGCCCTTGCTTAGGCAGGTGAAGGGGCAGATGCCGCAGGCAAACTTCTCGCCTGTGTGCTTGCGCAGGTGCACGTTGAGATTGGCCTTGATGGCGCTGGCGTAGCTGCACTGGGAGCACTTGTAGGGCTTCTCGTTGGTGTGGATGCGCAGGTGCGCCTGCAGCGAGTGCTTGAACTTGAAGACCTTGTTGCAGTACTCGCAGGTGAAGATTTTGAGCTGGGTGGGGCCTAGCCTGGAAAGAGAGGGGAGCAGTTAGCTGGGGGCTACTTGTACCTTCTCAGGTTCTTGTTCAGGTGAGTCTTCCACCCAGACTCCTGGGGCTGATAGTGAGCAGAAGGAGACTGAGGGTGGTTCAGTCATTAACACAGCAGGACAGCCGGGCTCAGGAGGACGCACGCACATACGAGAGTGCGTCCTTGTCCTGAGGAGCAGGCTGAAGGAGGTGGCACCGCAGGGCAGTAACACCAGGGAAGAGGCAGGGTGAGGAGACAGCCCTTGTGATGGACAAGGATTGTGTCAGCTTGACCGGGCGGGCCAGGACCCTGAGATGTAGCTATCACCCAGGATGGGATTTGATGTGACAAACCAATGAGCCTACTGTGGTGCTACAGACAAGCATTGGATCACATGGTCAGTGTGAACTGCCAGAGACCCTACACAGGGTCACCATGAGACAAACAGACCCCACAGCACTAACCAGCACATCTCCCTTAATCCCAGCACGCCCGGACCTGATTTACAGGAGATTCCCAAGGATGTGACTTGTAACACCTCTGATCTTACAAGAGTCAAAAGGAGACAGAAGTGAGCAGAGAAGAAGGGACCTCCTCCCACCAGGAGTGCAGAGCATCCTTTGCACCTGGGGTCCGTGCACTGTGAAGCCCCTAGATCCAGGGGAAGACTGATAGCAAGACACAAGAAGATCTCCAAGGAATGCTGGGTGTACAGATGCTGGAAGGAGACCAGGACCTTTCCCCAGAGCCCACATGAGAAAGGGTTCCCCTGAGAGGCGCCCTCTGACTGAGGACTTCCAGCCCCCTCAACTGTGAGGGAAGGGAGCTCTGGTAGCGTAGTGGTTACCAGGCTGCGAACCACAGGGTCGGCAGTTCAAAACTACCAGCTGTTCCATGGGAGAAAGATGAGGCGTTCTGCTCCCGTAAAGGTTTACAGCCTCGGAAACCCTGTACAGGGTCGCTATGAGTTAGAACCGACTCCACGGCACGTAACAACTACAACAACAAACTGTGAGGGAAGATGTTTCTGTCCATGAAAGGCATCCACTTATGGTATTCCTGTTTCAGCAGCTCCAGAGAAGTAAGTATTCTAACCTGGATTCAAAGGAGCCCTGGTGGCACAATGCTTACTACGTACCTGGCTGCTAACCCAAAGTGTGGTGGTTGAAGCCCACTAGCCGCTCAGAGGGAGAAAAGACACAGTGATCTGCTCATGCAAAGATAACAGCCTAGACAATCCTCTGGGGCAGCTCTACTCGGTTCTATGGGGTCCCGACAGGGTCATGTGAGTCACAATTGTCCTCATCACACACAACCACCACCTGGGGTTAGGCAGAGGCGATGTCCGAGCTGAGGTCTAAAGAACAAGAAACAGCCTCCTGCACTCTGAGAGAAGCCAGTCTATGTGTTAAAGCCAGCTCTGATTAATACAAGACGGGTGAGCGCAGTGGTTCAGAGCCACCAGCGGTTCCTGTTCCCGTACAGATTTACATCCTCAGAAGCCTAGGGGAACGTTCAGTGCTGTCTGAGAGACTCACTGTGAGTCAGAATTCACCTGATGACAATGGGTTTGCTGTGAGGCATTACTCAACACCTACAGGATCGGCAGTTTAAGCTTACCAGCTGCTCCTCGGAAACCCTACAACAGCGTTGCTATGGGTCGGAATTGACTCAACGGCACTTAACAGCACAACAGTGGTCCCTGAGACACAGGTGAGAGACTCTGTAGATGGCAGAGAGTAAAAGAACGGCCTGCCTGATGAGACCCTTGTCCTTCAACAAGGCAATGTGTACTCTGTGTTCTGACACTGACAGTGCTGAGAACTTGTATGTCGCTGTTGTCAGTTTCAACTCATAGTGACCCTACGCACAACAGAATGAAACACCGCCGGGTCCTGTGCCAACCTCACAATTTCTGCTTCACTTGAACCCATTGCTGCTGTCACTGTGCCAACCCATCTTGCGGGGCAGGGGGGGCTTCCTCTTTTTCACTGACCCTCCACTTTACCGAACCTGATGTTCTTCTCCAGGGACTGGTCCCTCCTAATAATATGTACAAAGCATGAGAGACACAATCTTGCTATCCTGACTTCTAAAGAGCACTCTGGCTGTACTTCTAACATAATTTAGTTGTTCTTTTAGCAGTCCATGGTACTCAATATTCTGCTCAAATACCATAACTCAAATACATCAGTTCTTCTATGTCAGCTACGCTAAGTATTTAATCTCCGCCAATTACTAGACCCATTTCACAGATGGGAAAACTGAGGGTTTGCCGAAGATCATCGACTCTGTGAGTGCTGAAGGCAGAGTTTGAACTTAAGCAGTTTGTCTGACTCGAGAGCCTTTGCTCTGCAGGATTTCCAATGACTGAGTTTCGTACCAGTAGATCACCAGGCCTTTTCTTCTACGGTTCCCATGTGGCCTCAGACTGCCAACCTTTCAGTCCGCAGTCATGTGCTCAACTATTTGCTACTGAGTGAGATTTTCTTGATCAACTCACCATCAGCACAAGACATAAGTAAGGACTTGCAATCTGCTCCTGGAATGTCACAGCCTAAAAACCACACAGAGTCAAGTACTTGGAGTCGCCATGACCTTGCACCTCAAACTGACCTTGTCCTCCAAAGCCACAGCCTCGGAAAGCCTGTAAAAGGTCCCTATGAACCAGGATGGCCCCCACAGTGGTGGGTTATACCTGTGGTTACAATCCCATTTGGGAGTGGGCTTCCTTTGTTATGGTAATGAGGCAATATGAATGTATGTGAAACACTTCTTTTAAGATATAAAAGAGCAGGTTAAGCAAATAAACATTAAAAGAAAGAAAAGTACATTATAGTCTATTCTGATTCATAGCGACCCTATATAGGGTTTACAGTGAATAAGGAAGACTGTAGAAGAATTGATGCTTTTGAGTTATGGTGTTGGAGGAGAATATTGAAAGTGCCATGGGCTGCCAAAAAATTCAACAGATCTGTGTTGGAAGAAGTGCAGCCAGAGTGGTCCTTGGAGGCCAAGATGGCCAAACTTACTCTCTCATACTTCGGACATACTGCCAGGAGGGACCAGTCGCTGGAGCACGATATCATGTTTGGTAAGGTGGAGGGTCAGAGAAAAAGAGCAAGACCCCTAGTGAGATGGATTGGCCAAGTGGCAGCATCAGTGGGCTCAAGCGTGGCAACAATTGTGAGGTTGGCCCAGAGCCGGGCAGTGTTTTGTTCTGTTGTGCATCGGGTCGCTATGAGTTGGTACCCACTCAATGGCACCTAACAACAACAACAGAGTGGCTGGTGGGTTGGAACCACTGATCTTGTGGTTACCAGTCCAGTGCTTATCCTGCAGCACCATGTGACTGACTGTTGTTATTGCTGTTAAGTGCCGTTCAGTCGGTTCCAACCCATAACTACCCTGTATAGGGTTTCCGAGGAGCAGCTGGTGAGCTTGAACTGCCAGCCAGGCAGTTCAAATGGCTTTGCAGTCTGGCACATTAGCCCACAGTGCCATACCAGGACTCCTGTGTAATTGCCTAGGAAACTAGAAATAGAAGCTGAAAAAAAGTCAAGGGCCTTCCCTAAGAGTTGACAGAAAGAGAGCCATTGCTTAGGGTGGGCGGCTGGAATTCAGGCTTCTAGTCTCCTAACATGTGAGAAAATAAATGTCTGTTCATTAAGACCCCCCTTGTGATAGTTCTGCTATAAACTAGGGAAAAAAGCCCTCGTGGCACAGAAGCTAAGAAGAGCTCAGCTATTAACCAAAGGGTCAAAGGTTCAAAACCTCCAGCCACTCTCTGTGAAAAAACGAGGTGGCAGTCTGCTTCCGTAGCGATGGCACCTTGGAACCCTGACAGTTCTACCTGTCCTACAGGATCACGATGAGTCGGAATGCACTGAGGGCAGGATCTGTTAGCCAGCGCTGGCCCTGGGCACCCACCTGCTCATCATAAAAGTAAGCAGAGCTGACCATCTGTTGCCTGCTATGAAGGAGCAGCTCAGGCTCAGGCCAATGGCTAAGGGATGGACAGGCGTGAAGCCAGCAGGCAGCTGGGGAAGCATTCAGGAAGAGTAAAAGTTCTGTTAGGAGAAATCAAAGATGCAGAGAATAAACCAGTGGGGGCAGCAAGGAGAACCAGGGGCACTGTGAGAGGGGAGAGAGTCTGGAGAGTTGGCAGGGTCAGAAGGGCACACCTAGAGGCAAAGTTCTCCTAAGAACAATGGAAAACCTTAATCCTTTCAGGACCCATGGGACATATAGTGCCGACCGCGGCAGTTAGTGGGAAGTTGCTATCCCACTTCTAGTGCATGTTGCCATCTAGTGGAAGTCTGTAAAACTGCATGAATCTAAAACAATGGACCTCATCCCACCAACTCCAGCACCAGCAACCCCTCAGGACATACGTGTACCACAAATTATATCTAAAGGAGCTCTGACAGCGTAGTGGGTACAAATCAGGCTGCGAACCTCAAGGTCAGCAGTTTGAAACTACCAGCTGTTCCACGGGAGAAAAATGAGGCTTTCTGCTCCTATAAAGGTTTGCAGCCTCAGAAACCCTGTTCATGGTACTATGAGTTGGAAACAACTCCATGGCACATAACACCACACACCAATTATACCTAAATCCAAATTACCTCAAAAATAAATATACATGTTTCCTGTAAATAAAAAAAAAGAAGAAGAAGAAGGAAAAAGTCAAAGCAGTGGATAACTTGGTTTGAACAGATGGGGAGGCATCAGATGGGCATCAGATAGGTCTCATTGTCTGCAATGTCTAGAGTCCAGTCAGCTGTGGGACACTGATGGTAGCCCAGCATGTCCATTTGTGACTAAGTTGAGAAATAAAGGAAAGTAAGCATTACATGATTAAGCCTAAAAAGCAAGATACAACATGGCAATTTACCAGATACACTGAAAAAATAAGGCTGGAAGGAAAAATATTTAAAATAATAATGGTGATTATCTGGAAAACATTACAAGTGATTATTTTGTGCCTAGGATGAGATTACAAATTATTTTTCTCCTTATAGTTTTCCAAATTTTCTACATAATAAGTATGCTGTATTTGTTATAAGAAAGAAATTAATAGAGCCTGAATGTTTTTCCTGTATTATGCAAATCAAAATCCTCATGCAAAAGAAATAAATCTCTTTCATCACTCATTTATAATTTCCATATAAAATATTCATGGAATACATGGGAAAGGAATCCAGCCTAGATCTGTTCATTAAACACTGAGAACGTCTGCCTGTAACCAATCCGCTTCCACAAAGCCTTATAGTCTTAGGAACCCGATGGGTCCTTCTACTATGGGTCACCCTGAGTCCGGTTCAAGTTGTCGACAGTTCAAACTTACCAGCTGCTCCTCGGAAACACTATACAGGGTCGCTATGGGTGGGAATCCGACTCTACAGCACTTAACAACAACATTAGCACTTAGTTGAAAGTCTCTAACCAAGAGGGAGTCCTGATATGGTGCCATGGGATAAGATCAGTTTGAACCACAAGGTCAGCAGTTCAAACTCACCAGCCACTCCTTGGAAACCCTGTACAGGGTTGCAATGAGTAAGAACCAACTCAATGGCACTTAACAACAAGAATCCAAGAGACCTTGAAATATTGTGGTTAATTAGACAACGTGAACAAATCAGACAAATCAAAGCTGAGCAGGGTCTTCAGATTAATTCAATTACAGATTTACACGAGTATTTTGTATGAGTATTTTTGTAGCTTCCCGATAAATTTGGTGGCATGCATTTACAAGAAGAAAGGTCTAGGGCTGCAATTACTGAAGCATCCCCGTGTGGTATTAGAATGTAATTTAATGAGAGCCCAACATATGCCCAACACTCTACATAAAATCTTCCATGATTCTCCCCTCTAAGCTATGGTAGGTCCTGTTAGACAAGGTTATGACATCTAACAGACACGCCCAGAGACAAGATGACTGGTGTCAAGTCAGATATGAGGGACGGCTTCGTCAGGATGGGCTGGGCGTTATGCAGAGCAGGTGCTCAGTTTATTGAGTGAAATGAAGAAGAAGAGTCAAGAGGCCGGCAGGTCTGTTAGACTCTGTTTACAGAACGAGCGGGATACCATTTGAGTGATATTTCCTTTGCCCTCCTTTCACTCAGACATCCAATGATCACTAAGCTACAGCTACAAGAATATATCACAGCTAAAGACTGAGAACCTGGGAGGCTTGTGAAGAAGCAGACACTCTGGTTCACTATCGACAGAGTGTCAACTTGTCCGATGTGTTTGTTCAACTTCATTATACAGAGGAAGTCAGGCTCAGGCAACACACCAATGGCTGAGATGGAGGGTTAAAGCCTCCTCCTCCTTCACTAGTGAATCTGTTTGTGCACAGAGTCCCGGTAAGCCAGCGCGCTGGGCCCTCTGCCCTGCGGCGGAAGGTTCACAGAACCGAACCCTTTACCTGCTTGACTTCATGGGCTGCTCGTAGGGTGTCTGTTGGATGGCATATTCCTGGTAGCCCCTCCGGTGGGCCAGATCCGACACAGCACTCTCGGGCTGAGCTGCCTCTGCTTCCGGGGGTCCCGCTTCCACCGGGATGATCTTGGTAGCACCTGAGATGGATGAACAATGAATGCACTGCTTGACAAAGGGCCACATGCGTGGCTGCTGACCCATCCCCAGGGCTGTGTCTCTCTACTGTAGGTTACTGTGCCGAGCTACTGGCTCTCCTTCAGATCACACAAGTGTGATCCTTCTGTGTGTCTGTGTGTGTGTGCTCACATGGGGGGGGGCATTTCTCTCATTGTTGTTGTTAAGTGACATCGAATTGGTTCCAACTCAGCGACCCTGTACAGGGCTTCCTAGGAGTGACTGGTGAGTTTGAACAGCCAAGCTTGCAGTTAGCAATCCAGCTCTTATCTGATAACACCGCACCAGGACTCCTAAGTAATATGCTAATTTCTGTTGTGAAGTGCAGTCCAATCAACTACGACTCATAGTGACCCTGGAGACAGTTTCAAAGAGCGGCTGATGGGTTTGAACTGTCCAACTTGTGGTTAGCAGTCCAGTGCTTATTCTACAGCGCCACACCAGGACTGTTTCTCTATACTCTGCCAAAATGTCTTCTTGGCCCATATTTGTACTTTACCTACTTAGTGTGTGTGTGTGTAGGTGTGTAGGTGTATGAGTGTGTGTGTGTGTGTGTGTGTGTGTATATATATATGTTGTTGTTGTTGTTAAGTTCCGTTGAGTCGGTTCCGACTCATAGCGACCCTGTACAGGGTTTCTGAGGCTGTAAATCTTTACAGGAGCAGAAAGCCTCATCTTTCTCCCACGAAACAGCTGGTAATTTCGAACTGCTGACCTTGTGGTTCACAGCCATGCTACCAGAACTCTCTCTGTCTCTCTGCTATGGGTTAATGTACTAGACTGAAAGTCAGTCTGAACTGTGAGGTCAACAGTTCAAACCCACCAGCCGCTACTTGGAAACCCTATACAGGGTTGCTATGGGTGGGAACTACTCGAAGGTACTTAACAAGAACAAATATATTTTATATATATGTATACCCTGTTCAAAATCACAGGATCCAAATCCAGGAAAACATCAGCCACCCAGGTGCAAACCTGACCAGAGACGCCCGTTGCCACCTCCCATCTGTTCACCTGGAATCGCCTCATGTGCAGTCAGAACCACGCTGACGATGGGCTTCTTGGGGCCTGGGAGCTGGCCAGCTTCCTTCCCTGAGGACGCTTTCTGCACTTTCTCTGTCTTCTGGGCTCGGGATCTTTTGGAGGCCTTTTCGCGGTCATCTTCCTTATACTTCCTTTCTAGTTCAATGTCAGATTCGTTACCTAGGAGGCAAACCCCCAACTCCATCAGTGATGGAACTGGAGAGCACATGTAATCCTTTATGGGCTGGTAAAGGAAATACATTTATATAGAAAATACACAGAGGTCCTCGTGAAGTGCCATCAAGTCAGTTCCGACTCATACAGACCATGGATAGTGTTTCCAAGGAGCGGTTGCTGAGTTTGAACCACAGACCTTGTGGTTAGCAGTACAGAGCTTATCCTATAGTGCCACACCAGGACTCCAGATATAGAATATTGTTATTGTTAAGTGCCATTGAGTAGGTTCCAACCCATAGTGACCTTCTATAGGGTTTCCGAGGAGTAGCTGGTGAGCTTGAACCACCGACCTTGCAGTTCAAATGGCTTTGCAGTCTAACGCATTAACCCACAGTGCCATCCCAGGACTCCAGATATAGAACACATATACACATATATATATAAATATACATACACATACAGGTACACCACCTGTGGGAGCCTCAGCAATGCAGTGGTTAAAGTTCTCAGCTGCCAACCAGAAGGCAGGTAGCTGGACCTTACCCTCCGCTCCACAGGAGGGCCATAGCAGGCAGAAGAACCTCACAGTAACATGTTCACTTCTTGTGTGTAAGGAAGGGGCTTCAAAAGGTCTGTGGGAAAATTCCATGATTTTAAATTTCATTTTTCCATGAACTTTTTGAAGTCATCTCATATATGTGTGTGTGTGTATATATATATAAATATGTATTGTTGTTGTTGTTAAGTACCGTAGAGTCGGTTCTGACTCATAGTGACCCTGCACAGGGTTTTCGAGGCTGTAAATCTTTATGGGAGTAAAATGCCTCATCTTTCTCCCGCAGAATTGTTGGTAGTTTCGAACTGCCGACCTTAAGGTTAGCAGCCTGATTCATAACCACGCTACTAGAGCTCCTTATATATACGTATATATATATATACACACACACGTACATGTACACATACACATACATATATATATATATATGGAGTCCTGGTGTGGTACTGTGGGTTAATGCGCTGGACTGCAAAGTCAGCTTGAACCGCAAGGTCAGAGGTTCAAGTTCACCAGTTGCTCCTCAGAAACTCTATACAGGGTTGCCACAGGTCGCAACTGACTCGATGGCACTTATCAACAACATATAAACTCTTATTAGATCCATGACACTGTGGAAACCCACTATGTATCTTCTGAGACCACCTTGTCCCTCAGTCTTTTATCCAGTGTAATTAATATTCCCTAAGTCCCTGCCATGGACTCCTGGTGTGACACAGTAGGATAAGCACTGGACTGAGAACCACAAAGGCTGGTAGATCGGTAGTTCAAACCCACCAGCTGCATCTCGGAAACCCTATACAGGGTATCTATGAGTCAAAATTGACTCGACAGCACTTAACAGCAATAACAACAAATCCCTGCCATAGGTCACTGTTTGGACCCAGGATAAAGGAGCCATAGTCCCTGGGGATGGTGAAGCCTAGCCAACTTCAGACTCATTCACAAACCAAATGACAGGAAAGAAAGGCAGTCTCCCAGACTGACAGCCCAAGAAACAGCTCAAGTATTCCCTGTCCATTTACCAGGGGGTGACTATGGGGTGGGACAGACATGGTGGATGAAGCAACAGCTAAGACACAGACCCTGCCCTGGAGGACTTGGAGTCCAGAGGGGACACAGACAGGCAAACACACAGAGTGACCAGAGCACTTACTCCCTGTGTGCTAAAGACATGGGAAGCGGGGGCATTAGACATGACAAGAAGGGGTGGTCTCGTCCCCTGCAGATGAAGGAGTGCTTCCGGCACACAGAAAAGCATGTGTGTGACCACTGCCTGTCATGTGAGGCAGTGTTAATGGGGTAACGTAAGACTCTGGGTGGCACAAACAGTTAAGCACTCAACTACTTACAGGAAGATTGGTGGCTCAAACCCACGGTGAGGTGCCTCAGAAAACAGACCGAGTGGTACTTCCCAAGGTCCCAGCTTTGGAGACCCTGTGGCACACAGTGTTACTCCGCGGGGCAGGAGGTACCTGAGAGCCCAAACGGACTCAACAGTTACTGACTTGGGTTTTGGTTTCAAGGGGCAGGAGAAGGATGGGTTTGGTTTTAAAAGATGAAAGGGATATCAAGGAAGGAGTGCAGACAGTGAGCTTGGCAAACTGCATGACTAGCTGATGAAGAACTCGAGGACGAAGCAAGGAGGGAGACATGAAACCAGCAGGCAGAATCTGAGTGAGAGAGCCTTGGACTCCTACGAGAAGACTGGATGTTCCCTGGGTGAGAGTCAGTAGGTGGGTGAAATGTTCACAGAACTAGTCAAGTGGTGTGTGTGAGGGTGACCCTGCGGGGCCAGGGAGGTGTGGCTATGTAAAAGTGACCCTGTGGAGGTCGTCCTGGAAGGACAGGGGACAGAGTGACTAGACTTTCCACTGGTTCAAAGAAAAACTGGAAGTCCACATTTTTCCTTGAGATTTTTCAAGGTTGACTCCAATGTTAAATTTCTTTAAACAATATGGAAGGCAGGCCAAAGACATCTGGGGCCACCTTTGACCTGAAGCTTCTTATCTGTCACCTCTGGTCAGCCTTGCTTAAAGCAGGAGGATGCAGGACTAAAGTTCTGCTCTCAATTCAAATCTGAAATGTGTGCCCGTGCCTTGGAGAATGAACTGGGTAGATTCAAGGTACTTGCAAACCCACAAAAGAATAAATATGGCTGCCACAGACAACAGTAGCAAAGCTCACGAGGAGGCTGGGTTTGGCATCAGCCTGAGGAGTAAGAAAAGCTTTGATATCACAATGGAGAACACAGACGCAACCTGCGGAATACACATTAGTCTAGATTTCTAAGTGCAAGGAATACAGAGCAAAGGAACAAGGGAGCAAAGTTTCCACTTTCTTAAAATCACAGCCACAAAACCAGAAATAGCCTAAGAATCGCTTCAGCAGAAGGGTACAAGTGTACAGGGAAGGATCCCACAATGCCTCTCGGAGATGGCCCTAGTGGATGGAGGGAAGGATGGAAGGACGGATGGCCCACAGTCAAGCAGGCAGACGGTGGGGGTTTGGGAAAATGCTGGAATGTGGTGTCATGGGGAGGCAAAACTGGAACCACATATAACAACACAGATGCTGGAGCAACGGGAAAACCAAAGAAACTGCCAGAGGCAACATGGTAAGTTCAAGCTTCCTGTGACTCAAGTGTTCCTGCAGGCTGTCCTGCTCATCAGTGGGCCATCACACCTGAGGGAAAAGAAAAGACAAAGAAGGCAGCCTGCATTCTGTAGAAGGTGTGCTGGTTGGAGGACAGCTCTCCTGAGGAGGCCAGGAAGAAACTGGCTGAAGGTCTATAAGTCAGCGCCTTCTGGTGTTTGTCTCCAGCTCATGTTTGGTGGTGGAATGCTGTGGAGTCGATTCCGACTCATAGCAACAATGATTAGACCTGGAAAACTTTTTTTAACAGACTTGAAAGGGCCTGTTTTATCCTCAAGCACTGTATTATCCTACCAGCTAGTCCAACAGCCCATGCATAGTTTCCTGTGACTTCATCTTCGACAATGGGACCTGAGAAGGAGGCTGATAGGGGACTTCTGAGCACAGAACATGTCAATGCTAAATATGCTAACATCAAACTGAAAAGAATACATAATAATAATGAGATCCTGACCAGACAGAACTGTACATGACTCTGCAAGGCCGAAGGGAGAACACGATGACGCGCACGTATTCCCATCACTTTCAGTCCGTGATGACCCATGTCAGGGCCCAAGAGTGGGGCTAATGAGGCCTTGCCAAAGTCACTGCTGATGCCCACATCTGAGATGCCTGATCAGCGCTGCACTGATGGCAATTTCTGCTTTCTTGTACTTTCTCAACGGCTATAATGCAAGACATTTCAGAAGGCCTATGGAGTCCTGGTGTGGCACAGTGGGTTAATGCACTGGACTGCAAGGTCAGTGGTTCAAGCTCACCAGCTGCTCCTTGGAAACCCTACACAGGGTCACTATGAGTTGGAATTGACTCGATGGCAACTTAACAACAACAAAAATGGAGCCCTGGTAGGATAAGCACTAGCCTGCTAACCAAAAGGTAAGTGGTTCAAACCCACCAACTGCTCCTTGGAAACCCTATATAGGTTAGCTATGAGTCGGAACTGACTCGATGGTACTTAGCAACAATTATAAACTGCCTAATTCACAAAGCTCTTTATGTGGCCCACAAATTGGGTGACAAAATACACAAGTACAAAAGCAGCGTTAGAATACCCAGTGAGCAAGGTAAGCACAGGCTGACTTGTACTACTAATTTGTAGCAAACAACTTCACTTTTTTCACCACATTGAAGACTGCTTCTAGGTATGGCTGGGACCTATGTCTCCTTCAACCCCACAGCATGTTCCTACACAACCCCTGCCAAAGATGAAGGAGGCCTGGTGGCATTATAGGATAAGCACTGGACTACAACAGAAAGGTCGGTAGTTCAAACCCATCAGCCACTCCTTGGGAGAAACATGAGACTTTCTGCTCCCATCTTACTCTGTAGTGAACAGCTGCACATGTTTAAACCCACGTGAGAATGGTCACTGGGATTAGTAAGAAAACACAAGGAAGCCATGCTCACCTTTCTTCTTTGGTAATTCACCTTTCTACAGAAGAATATGCTAGATTTGCTAGAGAGATACAAATAACCTATTATGGGTGTTTGGGCTTTTAAAATGATGTTTCATATTATAAGAGAATTCACCATGGGATATATTTCATTATGTGGATAAGATGGCAGGAATATCTAGATAGGTTTACATTTTTTGAAAACCCTAAAAGATAGAGTTCGCACAACATTCAACCCGTTAACAGTGTGAATCAGCAAAACAGCCAACACATAGGTGCTGTTAGACTGTATTCCAAAGAACGAGCGAAAGAGATCTAGGGTACAGCATTTCTCCCAGGCTCTGTACTGGGCATTAGGGGTTAAGAATACGCTGAGGGGCTGGCTCAATTAGTTGATGAAC